AAGAGAACAGGTAGGAAAGCGTGATCGCGAAATTCGCTTGACGCTTGCTTAGTGATGTCACGATCATCGATTATACTCGATCATCGGTTGAACAGTGGCTCGAACCAAGCGCTTGGTTATCAAAATCCATAATCAATTTCATCAAAAAAAAAAAAAAATTTGAACAAGAAAACTTGGAAAAGTGATGAGAATCAGAGATATCATCGCTACTATACAAGTTATCCTTTATTAACATACATGTATTATACACACAGTAGTAAACAGTGCAAAAGAAACAGTATTAAACAGGGCTAAACAAGCACAAACATACACACACGTACATGGCGCACGACGTTACGCACACGCAGGCATTCAACACCCCGAGTAACCGATTGTAACCGAATCATCGGTTACTTGGTCCATCCGATGATCGATTACGAAATTACAACCGATTGACAACACTACGCTCGCTTCATTTCACACGATCACAGAACGAAAACACATCCAACAGCTCCCATCTTGGTATCTATGTGTACCGTTCATTATCGTTCATTTGTTCGAATTATAACTCTGGCCTTTGTTCTTACCTACTCCCGCCAGAGATATCTTGTGAAAATCTGCAGGAAATGTTCTCTGTGAAAATGTAAAGAGGACGAGATGTCTGTTTATACACGAGTAATGGGGCGCATTGCATGCCAGGATGAGCTGCTGCCTGCCTCCGAGCTCCGTTTCGAGGCCCGCCAAGCCAAGCACAATGGCGCGCGGCATGACGTCACGCACACACGACTACAGCGATCAATCGAAAGTAGCGCCGTTAGGGATTTTTGAATGATACGTCCTCTACATTTTCACAGAGAGAACATTTCCTGCAGGATTTCACGAGATATCTCTGGCGGGAGTAGGTAAGAACAAAGGCCAGAGTTATAATTCGAACAAGTGAACATTTATGTAAACATAGATACCAAGATGGGAGCTGTTGGATGTGTTTTCGTTCTGTGATCGTGTGAAATGAAGCAAGCGTCGAGCGAATTTTGCGATCACGCTTTCCTACCTGCTTTCTTATTCATGTTGTTTGGGCACCCAGCACAGGGCGGGCGTGCGGTGTACTTGTGTGTTGCAGATGAGCATCTGACAGGCATTTACAGGTGATTATAGGTGAAATAGAGTAGAGAAACATTAAGACTGGTACATTTCGTGTTTATTTACCATTAATTTTTTTTATTGAGATTTTCAATGCTGTTGCCAAGTGCCTGTGCTCGCAGTGTTTCCCTTTGCTCTGCCAAAAGATTCTGCGGCTGAGTGTTAGGTAACCTCGTTGGGAAATACCCTGATGTGCTGCCCAGCTAGAGATAATGCTGAATAGTATCCGACTCGAAGGGAAAATTGTGCAGGAAATCGGCCCTGAATTGACCTACTACTAGTAGTACTTCGCTAGCTGATGTCCTGTCTGTCATTGAAACAAGAAAGATTCAAACACTATAGTAGGGAGCATGGAATCCTAGGTTTGCATGCCACCATATTGGCTCCTTATCCGAACCACTTTCCGAAACACGATCAACAATTTATTATCCGGGTCATTGATCCGTCCAAACGATTATATAGGTTATACTATATCTGTATCTAGCTATCATAACTATAGTCCTACTAGGCTGTATGACTGTTTCACGTCGTATGTTTCTTGCCATGTAGTGAGAAGCGAGAAGGTAACTTCTGGCTATCGTAACTAGAATTAATTTCGTATGAATTTTCAGGTTGCGACAAAACGTTTTTGTGCTTTGGTGAAAACTCCGTTTCATATTCTTGACAGTGACTCTGCACACGCACTGGAAGAGGACAAGGGAATATGGTACGTCACACTCAGAAGGCTGAGTAATGCTACTAAACACCTAATACTTAAAACTAGCCAATACTAATACTTAAAACTAGCCAATACTAATACTTAATTGATGCTGCTTGAGGTTTAATAAGCTTGTTGAAGTGCAACATATGTACCCTGCTTGAGAACGCATCTCTGTCTAAACAAATTCTCGGTTATGTTGAAGAAACGTGTTTAGTATCGTACTATTATCCTTGATTACGTTTCTCGAGAAAAATATAACCCCGGTGAGAATATACTGAGAGATATACACACACATTTTTAGGTCAGTCTTATCCGTTCTGTCAGTAGCCTGCGTGAGAGCCGTTGTCTCAACAGCTCACTTTATGGAATATGTGAAACATACTACCTCATATATCCACATTTTAATTTTAATATTGTGTGCGTGCATGCGTGTGTGAGTGCGTGCGTGTGTGCGTGCGTGCATGCGTGCATGCATGTGTATGTGTGTGTTTACGCATGTTCGCATGCATGTGCGCGCGTGTGCGTGCGTGCATGCGTGCGTGCGCGTGCGTATATATGTATATATGTACATGCATAGCATATGTTTTCTGTGTAACTATAACTCGTTGTCGTCGATTCTCATGTGTGTGCGTGTGCACATTGACGATTGCGTGTGCGAGCGTGCATGTATAGCATATGTTTTCTGTGTAACTGCAGGGTGCGAAATTAATGCGAGTTCGGAGTCAAATACTCCCTGATTTACTGTCGGACTCCCTCATTTGACATATGCAGGAGTCCGTGTGACTCCCTGAAAATTCTCCTATACTAACTATAGTTCGTTCCAGAGCACGGCCTCGCGGAATGTTTCAGTAAATGTCCAAAGAAAATTGGCAGACGTGCATTGCACGAATCTTCAAAATAAGCACATGTATGCGTTGTTGTTGTTATGCTTTAGTTTTGAACTTCAGACTGCGGACTCCCTCATTTTGCTGCGGACTCCCACTTTTCGAGGGTGGTGTGTCCGTTGGACTGCCTTGTTCACAAGTTAATTTCTACCCCTGGTGTAACTGTAACTCGTTCTTGTCGCGTCTCTCGTCCAGGGAAAAAAATAAAATTTATTTTTCGGGGGCTACTTTTTAAGCTCGCGTGCATAAAAATAGCACTCTAAAATTTGGTTTGCATTGAACTCTATGCAACTTTACGGGGGCTCTTTTTGGCATTTCCGGGGCTCTTTTTGGCATTTCCGGGGCTCTTTGGCATTTCGGGGGCTAAATCGCCCTGAGCCCCCGTGTATTTTTTTCACTGCTCTCGTCACAGACGTCGTACGACGATGACGAGGGTTTCTCGACACAGCAGTACCCGGAGCTCGTAGCCGGATCCTTCCCGAACGACTTCGGGTACGGGAGAGAGGAGACGGACCACGACTCGCAGCGAGGCCCGCCCGACGACACCAAGCCTAGAATCTTGCTCATGGGACTGCGACGGTAAGCCAGGGTATCAGCCGTCTCGCCGTCCTTGTCGGCAGATTCATTTTCCCACTAGACGCGGTCACTTTCACTGCGAGCATATATGAGTCGAAATATCCTAATGCGTAATTTAGCACCCGTTTTATTCCCCTGGGGAATTATAATATTTATTCCTCATGGAATTGTCTGGGATTGTCTGTCATTACACATTAGATCATGTAGAGAAACAGCATGCACAGTTTGAGTTTGTTCTCCCTACTACTCTAGTACCACTTTTCTAGTAATTATAGGATGAAGTTCAGAAAGAGCCCATGTTTGCAGAGTGAGTTTGTAACATGTCATGACACCTTTTAAAGAACTATATATTAACTGCACAGCTGCTGAAATTTCCCCATAAATGTTTTATGGTACAGCACATCATGTAAGCATCTCTCAGTAAATGTAATCAAACATTTCACAAAACGTCTCTACCTTC